ATATCTATGTGAACAAATCTTTTCTCATATGAAAAATATTTTGAGTCCACAAAGAAATTGTTTAACAACTAAATATTCAAAATCATGCGTCAAATTGAAAGTCACAAATTATAGCCTTGATATTGCGATATTTAGAGCGGTTAAGGTTCGCATTAAAATATTAAGTTTTTGTTTAATTATACTGAAGAAACACTTATATTTAATGTCGTTTATTTTTAATAAATATTTTTAAAAAATACGTAATACATAATATATGTACAATTTAATTTTTTATTTATGTTGAAGGAATAGTTATATCTCATGTTAATAAATATGTTTAAATGATGAATAATTAATATATAGTAAAACTCTAAATCTGTATTCTTGTTACCTAACTCTGCATGCATTGTCACAGAAATTGAATTGTTTGAAATATTTTCTACTGTGTGGCATCCTGAATCATGTTGGTACAGCGGTTTGTCACACCACAGCTACAAGGTTGCTGATCCCTGCTGTATATTATAGAGAAAACTATAAAATGTTCAATGAAGAAAAAGGCTGGGAATCCCTAATTTAAACTTTAAATTTTTAAAAAAGTGCTTTACAGACTTCATTCTTGGTACTTTCAGATGTTAAGCAAAACCATACGTAAATGGCACGTCTGGCAATATATAGAGTGAAAATCTTGCGAAATATGGAAATCTGAGTGAGTGGCTACTGGCAGGCCCTATATTAGTTTGTAGAAAAGAAAGCTCTGAGTAAACAGAAAAATTAGCCGCAATCAAAAGCTTAACTGTAAAAAAAACTACAACTTAATTTTAATGAACTGAAACTAAAGGGAATGTTTAAAAAATTCAAATAATGTAAAGTTCAGCTTATTGGGAAAAGTTAATATTAAATCTGAATTCTACATTTCAGTATTTAAAGAAATCACGAGGGTACTCTTCTGTTATAGTGGCCGTATTCAGAAATGTATATATACAAAATGTATATAATTTGCTTTGATTTACAAACTACACGTCCAAATCATATATATTTACTTCCTGGATGTATTTTTATATTTGGTTTACTAAAAGTTTGATTAAAAAAATTTTAATCAAAATTTTAGTAAACCAAACAAATTTTAGTAAACCTGCACAGATCAGGTAAACAAATTTTAGTACACCTGCACAGATCAGGTCTGCATTTTTCAAGTTTACTACTAAATACATATGTAATTTTGTCTTTCAGGAATATGATTTTATTATTATTATTCAATTTATCCTTACACGAATTTAATTCTGATCCCATATCCCCACATTATGAGGAAAAAACGGTAAATTAATATCGAGCATCTTCAAGAGACAGTTAATTTTCTATATTATTTTTCTTTTAGAAGGGAAATGTTATGTCTCATGACATAAATATCCTGAAATTTTGAAACGCTTTTTTGGATTAAAGGCTCTAAAGATGGGAATAAGCAACATTACTCTAAAAAACGTTATAGAAAATACACAAGTACTAAATGCGGACACAACAGACAGAAAGTGCCTCAGTAAGGATCTCTCACTGTCTTACTCATTTTCCTAAATAATTTAAATATATTTGTTTTGTGATAAAGCGCCAAATATGACACATTTAAAGTAACCCCTTGCGCATGAGCTGCTGAACCATCAGGGGGAAAAGCACAGGTCAAGTCTGCATTTCACGTCGTGTATCTGCGCAGACTCAGTAACTCAAAACTACCTGTAGATGACATACACTAGAATTCCTACCTGGGCTACGCCTAATGGAATAAAGTTTACTTTCCTAATCATTCAGCTAGAGAACTTAGATATGATTTCTGAACAATTATAAATTTAATAAGGCTTGATGAAGCTTCATAAAATTAAAATTATTATAAAAGTAAGCTACAAATTTGATCAAAGAGAATTAAGCATAACAGAGGTCACAGATTCCAATTCGATCGTAGGCATTACAGAGATGCCGGGCCGGTGACTAATGTCTGGAAACACGGATTACAAAAAGTAACCAACTTTTTGTAATTTCGCAAGTAATATACACTCAATAAAAAGAAAAACAGTGGATATACAGCTGGTAAAATACACGAAAAAATGCAAAGGTACGAAGCATAAAAATATATGAAAATACAAAAACACAAAAATATGAAATTGAGTAAGCCAATGTCCTATAAACGATGCATTAGAATGCACAAAACTTAAATATAAATGGCGGGGTAACTGAATATATTGCAATCTAGTCTACAGTTATAACTACACATTATTTTCATAACATTTACATCCAACTAACTGAGCTGAAAATATCTTCAAATATTAAAAGTAATATAACTAACTTACGTATGGAATTATCAGTAGCCGATAATTCGAGCATTTTAACAGAAATTTTCTTAAAAATACTGCTCAGCGCATAATCTCTGAACAAGTTAATGCTTGTAAAAATTTAGCAAAATCAGCAAAGGCATTTAGGCCCAAATCACTAGTCTGATTATCATTAACTTACAGGCTTAATCTGAACTATGCTAGCAAAAGCTACACCAGGTGTTATATTTGCAGATTTGCTTACAATATGCTTAATCACATATAATATACTTACATCTAACAAGAATTACTTTCATTATGAATTTTATTTAAATGAAAATCTGTATCAATCAATTCAGAAAGTTTAACGAATCTACCATAATGGTTTTCGCAGTTTAGCGTACTTCTAATTTTAGAAATTAAGACATGTATTTGACGCACCTAGGCTTAAGCCTGCAAATTTCGGAAGAATGGTTAAGTGTTGGTAGATGTGACACTGCACGCCACCACCTTATAAGCTGTAGCAGATACATAAAAATTCATAAAATTAGTTAAATCATAAATCTCTTCAACCCCAGGAATATTTTAAAACTGAAGTTGAAACAAGGGCGTATGCACCCTTGTTTAAATGCTATGCATTTGTGCAGCCTTTCTAATTTTGGAGCCTTTATTTAAAAGCTCTTTATGAATTTCTTGAGCATGACAGTCGGAAGGATGCCCTCAAAGTACAATTTTTATCGGACGCTCAAGTTTACGGGTAATAATAAAATGCTCTTTCTTTTATCTGGTAATATCCGATGATCTTCGGTGTGGGGAAAAATCGTGAGGAATTTTCCATTTACTCTGTTCCACTACTCTTACAGTTCGGAAGCAAATATGCTTAATTACGTAGTAAGTACTAGTATTTAGTATAAATGTATGTATTTTCTTTTTCTGCAACATTTCAGAGCACTAATAAAGTGAAGTATTTCTTTCTTAAATAACACTTCATTCCTGAATGGAATTACAATTAAACGCTCTCACTGTTCCTGTGCTCAGAAAAAACTGAGATGTTTTAGCAAGTTTCCTCTAATTACATTTCAAAGAAATTTTTAGGTAATCTGATTTCATCAATGATAACAAAAATTAAAAATCAAAGTTTATGTATCTATTATTAACGTTAAAATAACGTATTTTATTACAGAGCATTTTATCTTTTATATTATACTACATTTACATTATATTTATTATTATATTTTATTACAGAGTATTATATCTTTTATATTATATTACATCTGTATTATATTTATATATATATTTATTACTATATTTAGAGATGATTTTTTTTTTTTTTTTGCCTTTCAAAGTATCTTCAAAACCATATTCACATTATAATTAATGCTCCCTTTGGTTTATTTCAAATTACAGCACTTGTTTTAGTAGTGAAATGTTGGTATTAAATTGTGGGTACCATATATGTTATTAGTGTGAGGTACGGGAGGGGAGAGAAAAAATATTTATTAGTATTCTTTAAGACTTGAAGCTATTTTATTATAATATATAAGGAAATATTTTTTTTCATATCTTTCTAAATTTTATTCAACTATGCACATTTTAAACATGCTGCTTTACAATTGTCCTAAGTATATATTTCATATATATTTATATAATCTCATATACACCCATCATTTTTAATAAAGACTCTGTTCACACATGAATGAATCTTGATTAAATGGATTAAACATATCCCTGTCAAAAGTATTTTAAATTATGTTTACAGTTAAATAGGTTAATAATAATATTTAATTGTAGTAATTAATATTTGCAATGTAATAATTTAGATTTAATTGTAGGTTTACAGTTAATTTCAGTTAATTAACTGTAGGTGTACATTTGAATAAGTCACATTTTATATAATGACTATTTAGATTTCTTCACGGACCATTTAAACATTCACGAGACTCGCTGAATATAAACCCTTCCATTCTCAGATATATTTATAAATAATTTCATTAATAGTTACATATTTAACTGGCAGGAAAACTGAAAGTCCTCTCGAGTAATTTAGTGGTAAAGACAATTAACGTACATGCTGTTATATGGTTAGACTTCGTAATGTTCCATATTAATGTTATATTGTTAATTATATAACTGGTTAAGCGTTGGTTGAATCTTCATACGAAAGTATACAGATGCGTACAAGTATATTAAGAGAATTCTGATCAAATGAAACTTAATAAAAACTTTTATGCTGAAAATCGGTAGGGGTGAGGAATAAATAGAGACTCACCATTAAATTACATAATTACATTTATACTAAGTTAATTACATTACTTTGTATTTGCCTTCTTATAAGATAGTACACTTATAAATCATATACACCATACAATATTATCAGTTTTGTGTCTATAACTGCTGTTATTAATTACAATTTGTAATTATTACTAGGTCTCCTCTACCATGCATTCGCTTTAAGGTATGACCAGGCTTTGCCATCTAGTTTATCTAGTACTTATATGTTTGCTATCAAATGGTGTACTTGATAAATTTCCTAACCTCAATTAACAGTATGCCTGAATGCTTCTTTGCAGGTTTTGCAAATTTTAAAGACATCGGTTGATGGTACATTAAGAACCCTTTATTTTTATAGCAAATAAGAAATTTGTGTTAAGCTGAAAATAAACAAATTAGGAAAAAAATCCTAAAGTTCAAATAACATTAATTTATTAATAAAAATGTACTTACACTTTCTAGAAAGTACTTCACCGACTGACTGGCAGCTTTCGTTTTCGATTATTATGTGGAAGAAATAAGCGGAGTGTTCACTGCACCGTTTCCGTTTTCTCTATGACAGAAATAACTGCCGCTCATTAATACGCCAAGTTTATCAAGTTATCGCCAAATATTCAAAAACGAGCATTCATGTTCCTTGAGTGTGTGTGTGTGTGGGGGAGAAGTTTCACCTTAAAGTCCGCTATTTTTATTTTTCGGCATAACTTCCGCAGCTGAAAGTGGGCATGCGCATAATTACGAAATAACGGTTAAGATGGGAGAAAGATTTATAGCTGTAACACGTGATATGCACCTGGAAAGCGGATGAGTCAGATTGAAACGTTAAACATGAAAGGGAATTCATGCACAATCAGAAATCAATATCTGCTTTTATATTAATGCAAATTGTAAAGTAACAACGTAGACATCTATTAAAAACAAAACTGAAAGGTGAAAAGGGGGGAAGACAACGCAAAATTAATTAGTGCTGAAAGTTATGTATGACATAACTTGCAAACGTAACTTAGCCGAAACGAAAATTCAATTTCAGTTGTGAAATTCACCAAAATGAGTTAAAGAAGATGCTTCGATGCCAAAAATCTTTAATGATGATATCAATGGATACTTTGTAGTCAATCTGCCATTCTCTCCCTTTTTTTTTTTCATTCTCATCTCGTTTTGGCATTTTGCTTTGAAAACTTCAAATGTAGGTTCACTTTTCAAATTGTTGCCACCAAATATTATCGCCGTGTGTTATATTTAAAGAAATTAAATAATGAAGAATCTGCATAAATGTATACATGTTTCTCGCATTGTGATAAAACGACGGTACCTAGAGCGATCAAATTTTGAATAACGTAGCCTTCCACCGAATATGGGCATCTGGAAGCCCTAATTTGGAATTTGTTTTATTATCGATTTCATATTTTGTAACACTTCAACGAATTTTTTATTAACAAACTCGACGATTTCGAAGCGAACAATGGTAAAACTGTACGAAAAACAAAACATTTTTATCTCCAGAGCGCGAGAATGTGTATCGCAAATTCTAAAGATATGCTTATTTTAAGATTATTTTGCGATATTGCAATTGAATTGAATTTTATGGTTTAAGTGCAAAGAACATTTAATAAACAAAGGATAACACACAAAAGGTAAAAAAAAAAAAAAGTCCCTTTGGGCATAATGTAAAATCTGAAAGTTTCAGAATTTTATTTATTTATTTATTTATTTATTTATTTCATTTCATTTTAGACTATGGAAAAATGCTCAGGCTACTACTAGAATCTGATAGCACTGTTTTTTGTTTTTTTTTCCTTAATATTGTTAGCTTTCATTTATATGATAGAGGACATATCCATAATTCTCATCTTTAAAAAAATCACCATCTGAAAAGGAAAGACATATTTTGAAATTTGGCACAAAATTATCTCATGAATCGAATATCCGAATATATTTGCAAGCAGTTTTTCAAATGCATCCCTTGTATGCAGATTTGAGTAGCTCATGAATAGTGGGTAAAGACCGATTCTGAAACAATAGGAGCTCCACAGCTTCTCCACCCTTTCTCTTTCCCACCCAAGCGCTGCGCTTCTCTTTCCCACCCGTTCCTTCCTCCTCCTAAGGTCAGAGCATGGAAGGTAGGAAGTAAGGAAATTCCTACCTCCATGCTCTGATTCTACAAGAAGGTGGGAAGGGGTGAGGAAGAGAAGCTCTTGGAAGGAAAAGGGAGGGTGGGGAAGCTGTAGAGCTCCTATTGCGTCAGAATGCATATTTCCAAACCCCAAACGTTTTGAATTTTTGACGTCACCCAACAATTCGATTAGTTTCGCCTGCATAATTCTTGCGCATGCGCTAAGCAGTCGAAGGTCGAGACTAGCAGTTGCGTAAGGTTTTAGGGATTCTCAACGGATGTAACGAAATAAATATACTAGTAACGTTCTTCCAAAAAATAAAACCACTCTGTACTTAAACATCAGGTAGCAACATGATAAAAGTTCATAAAGATTAAGAATATTTGGTAATTCAATCCTGAAGTGTAAAAATTTGCTTAGAGATTAATCATATTTTAGTTCTGAAAAGATGTTCATTAACTTTTTACTTGCTGACACTATTAAGAATGAAGTCTGAAAGTGTGTTCTTTTATATAAATACTTACTTTGACCTGTTTCTGTAGTAAGAAAACATTATTTTAATATTACTATCTGCTTATAAGATCATGCGAAATGCTGAACACTGTAGGTACTATCATAATTTTCAGATGTCTTTTCACATTGGAGTTTGATTTGTCATTGTAAAATATATTGTATTATAAAAGTTCAATCAAAGAAACTTATTTTTTTAGAATGATTAGAGATGTGAATATTCTAACTGAATTTCCTTCCCATCACTTACAATTTACTTCATAGGTTTTAAAACACATTCATATTGACAAAAAATTGTCTCTGCAGAAAATTTTTTTTGTTGTTTAAAAACTATTATTTTCCAGCAAAGTAATAAAAAGTTGACTAATCTTGTGCTTCACAGATTAATATGAATATTGAATTCCAAATATTACAAAAATAGTTTGTTGATATTTTATATTAACAAACTTATATAGTTTGTAACAGATGCACCTAACGATATGGAGAAAAATGTTCCATTAAAAAAATTCTGCATGTTAATCCAATAGCTGAATTACTTCCATTTCTGAGAGAAATCCAGTTTCAGTGCTGATATAACAAGTAAATACAGGAACTTTTTTAGAAGCTTCAAAATATAAGCTAGAGGTCTACTGTAAAATTTTATAAATGAAAAGAAATAATTTGCTTTTATTTCCAGAAACTGAAGGAAAAATTATCGCTGATGAAGATTTTACAAAATAGTCCTTCATTAAAATAAGCAAACATTGCTATAACAATAATGAAAACACCTATGTGTTTACTCAGCTGTTAGATTTTCTGCATGTATATTAAATTTATTTCACATTTTTTCAATAATACAGGAAGTTCATGGAATGTCACTGCAGTTTTGAATTGAGTTGGTATTGAATTTGGTAATTCATTAAAATAAGCAAACACACCTATAACAATAACGAAAATATCATGCCATCTGTTTGCTTAGCTGATAGATTTTCTGCATATAGATTAAATTTATTTCACATTTTCTCAACAATGCAGGAAATGTCATGGAAGTTCTGAACTGAATTTGGTAATTGTATTGTTTAAAAAAAAATTTGGGGTATACATAATGTTACTATGTCTAAATTATCAAATAAAAGATGTTCTTTCAAATAATAACTGGCTTTTCATAAAAAAGCAAAATTATTTTTATTTCGGGAATTTAAAATAGCCTATATCATAATTGTGTTAAGAATAAAGGTGTGTTGGTTACTAATCTGGAGTGGAGTAATGCTTGTCCGAAATTCTCACTTCTAACAGAAAAATAGTATTAATTTCTTTCAATAATTCTTTGTAAAATTCTTTACACATCATATGTTTGAAATTATAGTTTACTATAATGATGTTTTTAATTTAAAATACTACAGAGGTGTTTCCTATTTTTGTCCACTGAGTGTTGATTAGAAATTATTGAATTGGAGAGAAAATAACAAATTTTTAGAACTTTACTGAATGGTTTGATACTATTGTTATTTTTTAAAACTAGCAAAACTGCTCATTGAGAATTAAACTTTGATCAACACCAGAAGTTGTGACATATTTTTTAACACTTCAAAACTGATCAAAACCTTTTGTGTCATCTATAATCAAACTTATGAAGTTACTCAAGACAAATTCACCAAATTAATATAACAAATACTATAGAAGATGTTTCCTATTTTTGTCCACTGAGTGTTGATTAGAAATTATTGAATTGGAGAGAAAGTAACAAATTCTTAGAACTTTATTACTGAATGGTTTGATGCTATTGTTATTTTTTAAAACTAGCAAAACTGCTCATTGAGAATTAAACTTTGATCAACACCAGAAGTTGTGACATATTTTTTAACACTTCAAAACTGATCAAAACCTTTTGTGTCATCTATAATCAAACTTATGAAGTTACTCAAGACAAATTCACCAAATTCCCTTTGATTAATTACGTCATTGGAAACCTTCAAAGGGTTCTTCATTTTTGCAGGTTGTTAATACTCTATGTAAGACCACCAAAACTGACGTCTGTGTTGGCACCATTGAAAGTAATACAGGTAGAAGTCATATTTTTTATAGTCTCAGAAATGTCAGCGGAAATGATTTCAAAGTTTCATTGGGACACGTATTTCCCTTTCATAACACCCAGAATGCAATTATAGAAATATGTGTGGTTATGTATAGATAGCTACAAGGAATATTTATGTAGCATGCTTCTAGTCTGACTTAATTCTTCACATAGCATTTTCTTCTGAATGGGCAGTGCAGGGTGGCTATACGATTATATTACACCATCTATCCATATTAGATTATATTAGTATTACACCATGTACACATATGCGAAAGAGTACAGGACAGCAACGGTCAGTGTTAGCACCTATATGCAGATCATTGCAATACTGTTTGAAATTAATCAATTTCTTAACTTATTTTAATAACTTCGGACGACATATTTTTCAGAGGAAGCCTTTTTAATTAACAACGAACCTCTTTATTAAGCATTCTAAACATATCCAAAAGAACATTCCGTGTGTTATCACGCACAAAGCAAACAAAAAACAACTGTTGCCACAAAAGATCTGCATTATAATGAACATGTTAAATATTGTGTATTAATTGAATTCGTGCACGTTTCTTAACAAATACAATGTATCACCACTGAGTGGAGTCATAAGAGTTTATATGTTCAATTAAACGCACGTTGCTAATTGGGAGGAGGCTGAAGCTACTTAAATATGCTTAGACTTCTGATGTATGGTAACAGATTATGAACATTTTATGACTAATTAGAAGAAGTGTATTTAGAGCTTTTATTAAAAATGAGACACATCTAACAGTTTTATCAAAATGACTGGATTACCGGTAAATGTCCCAAAAAAAAAAAAAAAAAAAAGGGTAGTGACCCATTCAAAATGGTAGCTATAGTCAATTTAAATTAAATATTTTTATAGTCATAATTTATGATACACGGC